GCATCAGAGGAGCAGGAAGGCTGACGTTTCGGGCCTAGACCCTTGAAATAAATAGGGAGAGAGGGGGAGGCAGATAGAAGATGAATAGATATTTCAGAACCCCCTTCCCCTCCCCCATTTCTGAAGAAGGGTCTAGGCCCGAAACATCAGCCTTCCTGCTCCTCTGATGCTGTTGGGCCTGCTGTGTTCATCCAGCTCTACTCCTTGTTATCTCTGTTTTAATTACCATATTTAAATGATAAAGAATAATCTCAAGCTCAACTCATACTTTAGTCACCTTGCATTCATGCATTAGCTCTACACCTTGTTGTCCCAGATTCTCTAGCATCTGCAGTTCCTACTATCTCTGGTAATTAAAACACATCTTTTCTGCAATGTCAACTAACACTATTCTTGCTTTAATTAAGAACACTTATTAATGTCACTGGTAACTTTGCATTGAGTTCTGTATACAGCTTTACATTAACTTTGTCTCTGTTACTAACAACCGTCAGGTATCAGCATTTTCTGCTACAGTACTTTTTTCATTGTGCTGATTGAAGCCCCTTTTTGGATCTGTTGCTTACCAGGTTTAACACTTTTTTTTCAGTTTTGTAATTTGTTGTTGAATATACACTCTAACTTCCATCAATGCAAAGAGGAGAAAGGACATTGCTGGAAATTAATGCTATTAATAGCATTTTAATAGCTAAAAATGCTATTAAATCAATAGCATTCATATTTCTCTTTCAATGTCCTTTCCAGATTACATCTGATATGGTCAGCTGTACATATGAATTTAATTACATGAGGTAGAACTGCAGAAGAGTGTGGAGATGTTTGGCAGGGTGGGGGTGAGTGGTTAATGCCAGGGAGGAATTTGTAAATGTCTATGAAAAATCTGAAATCGGTGATTTGGATGTGAGAAACTAGTGTTGATCTACAGTCTTAGGTATGTGGGATGTAGTATAGGAGAGGGAGCTGCAGAGGCTGATGAGCGGTGTTGGAGAAGATTTGTGGTTAAGGCAGCAGTGTGGGTAACTTTAAATTGGAAGGTGGCAATATTACAGAAATGGAAATAAACATTTTAGGACTAGAATTATTAGAATAATAGCATTTAAACAAAAGAAAGCTACTTCAAACTCTTCACTGAAGCATGAAACATGCATGGTTTAGAGATATACTGTTACATCTGTCTGGGATAATGCTGCAAATCAATCCTGCTATTCCTGGAGATGTCACAAAAGTTAAATTAATTCAAGGAACACAAAGTACCCAATTTATCTGTTTGTTTGACCTAAGTTAACAGAAGATCGGACGAGGTTCTTGTACTTAACAAGAATTACTATTTACTACAAATGAGTAATTTCTAATCACAAGTAAACTGCCCTTCTCTAAAGCCTCTACATGTGCAGACAAAAGAAAAAAGATATTGATGTTATGGATGAGGGAAAATAATTTGTGGGAAACAGTTTAATAGTACCAGTCCTCAGAATTCGATGGAGTGTACCATTTGTTTCCCAAGTCCTTCAGTTTTTTGATATTTCACAGCAACTGGTTCACAAATTATAAAGTCTCTGACAAAACCGGAGGGAGAAAACAACTGACTTTCTTTAGGTTCAGGTATTTTTCATTTGAGGGAGGAATACCGCCACCCATTCTGGATGTTCAAAGGTTTCTCACTATATTGTTTACAACTACCAGCTGTTCAGTTACGCAGGAACCAGAGTGTGGCCACTAAGCTGAATATCTTTGGCATCTGCAACTGATCACAATTGTATAAACCTATCAGCAGCCTAGTACTGTTCAAGCCTCACTTTGTATGAACACCGTGGTGCTAGGATGCCATCTCTTACACCTTCCCCCATTGCTTGCAAAGCAGCATTGTAAATATGACCCACAATGGTTTCAGTAACTTGCTTTTCAAAATTACAGCAATTCATTTCTTCAGTTCTTTTGTTGTTTTGTAACAGTCCTTTTTATTAATTTAGTACACAATCAAACACAAAGTAAAATAAAAGATGTGGTCTTCACAATATTGATATAGTAAAGAGTAACCTTACACTTACAGAAAAAAAGCATTTTGTTAATTTAGGATTTATATCCTTAAGTGTTTTCATATCCTTTTTAAACAGAGTTTTGATTCCTTGTGCCACCCTCATGATTTGCTGAAATTGAATGTGATGGCTAACAACCTCCAGTTGAACTGAGCTCAACTTCAAGTCATTTATCCCAGCCCACCTACTGCATGTAAGCAAAAGTGCCTACTTATGTACTTCTCACCCTGCTTCATTTGAAGTTCCATGGCCTCTCTGCTTTCTCTGAGGCAAAGGCAGAAAGTTGTACAACCAAAATGCAGCATGCTTCATAATATTCAAGCCCATCCTCTTTGCTATTCTCTTCCTTTAAAACATCTTACAGCAAGTTTTCATTTACTTGATTTGTCTTTTAGTGCTCTTTCTTGTTGACCTTACTCTTTGAGGTGCAATGAGATGGTACATTATTAATATTGAATAATTGTACATGACTTTTCAGCTTTTGACTTGGCACACTTAGGGAGGCTAATGGTGTCATTTCAGGCTGGAGCAAATTAAGTTATGGTTTGCTTGACTGGAGGCTGATAGAATTTTTTTGAGAAAATGGATCAATTAATATTGTAACAGCAGTGATGCAAGAATGATCTGCTGAAGAATTGAAAGTGTAGAAAGATAACCTGATTCAATGCATTAATGTATAGTTGTGCTTTGGGGATTGGGTAACAGTAGCATTTTTTTCCCATGTTTATTATTCCAAGTTTTCCATTTCACTGCCTATTGTATACAGTTCTATAAATCTATAAATAGGGATTGTCACAATGCTGTAACTAGGAATAACCTTTTAATGCCAATATTGACCCAATTAAAGTTGGAAAATACCCTGGCAATTTTGACAGCCTCTATTTTGTTCAAGTAATATTTTCACTGAGCAAGATGTTGCAGATGCTGGAAATTTTGAAGTACCGAATAGAAAATGTAGGAAATACTTCGCCCTATCTATGGAGAGAGAAATATTATTAACGGGCTACTGAAAATTGGCTCAGTGTCATTTTTGTTGAATTTCATGGAAGATTTCTCTCTGCGAGGCCTAACATTTGCTCAATTTATCATTTCTAAATCATGTCATTAACTAGTTCATGACCTATGGCCCGTGTTCGTCTG